GATGATTTTCAGATGTGACTGGTTTGATCCGACGCCGGGACGCGGAATACGGATCAACAAATCAGGGATCACTGATATTTGTTACTCCCGTCGATATAGAAAATACGACCCTTTTATACTGGCATCCCAAGCAGATCAGGTATGTTTTATCCCTTATCCAAGAGATAAAACACGAAGAAGTGACATCGATTGGAAGGCCGTTATCAAGATTAATCCAAGAGGGACCATTACATATGACGGATCAGTGGAACAAAGCCCGCTACAGGAAGAACACACAGTTATAGCTGTCGCGGAAACAATTGATGTGGAGAGGCTAGTAGTGGAACAAGGGATATTTGAAGAACTAGAAATTGGAAACCTCGATGAAGAAGGCGATAGCAGCGAAGACACCAATCCCGAAACAACGGAAACATCATCGTATGGTTCATTTGATTAATTATCTAATGTGTGTATTTTTATTTTAAATTTATTTTTTTTAATTATTTTTCTATTTTGCGACGGATATTATCCGTCCGTATCCGTCGGTATTTTTCCGCCCTTTATTTCTGAAATTTTCGCAAATTTTTTGAAAAATTTAAAACCCATGTACGACGGACAGAGTCCGTCGTTAAATAAGATACTCCGTCGCTAATGGCCACGTGTTCAAACATTAGCAACGGATTCCGACGGTTAAGTTCCGTCGCAATTTGTAATACATATCGGGATTCCTCTTCTTTCTTCTCCGCCTCGACGCGAAAACGGTGACTTTCTCTCCCTGCGATTTCCGGTAATCGCTGCGATTTCCGGCCACCCACCGTCCGAGACAACCTGTCCGATGCCGTGGGAGGTAAGTCTTTCCTCTCTCCTTCTCTCCCTTGGTGATGATTCGCTGAAGCTTTTCCTTTAGGGTTTCGATGAGATTTGTGCGAAAATCCTAAGATCCAAAAATTTTCGGCATTTGTGGATGATTTTCGGCGAATTATGGAGTGATTTTGTCTAGTTTTGGATTGTTTTCGGCAAATTAGGGATTATGGTTTCATTTGAGGTTTAGGATTTCAGATTTAGGGTTTCAGATTTAGGGTTTCGTTTGGAGTTTAGGGTTTCGTTTGGGATTTAGGGTTTCTGATTTAGGGTTTCGGTATTAGGGTTTCAATTCGGTATTAGGGTTTCAATTATCAATTTAGGGATTATGGTTTTATTTGGGGTTTAGGATTTCACCTTTAGGGTTTCGAATTTAGGGTTTCGTTTGGGGTTTAGAGTTTCATTTGGGGTTTAGGGTTTCTGATATTAGGGTTTCTGATTAAGGGTTTCGGTATTAGGGTTTAGGGTTTCGTTTGGGGTTTAGAGTTTCATTTTAAGGGTTTAGGGTTTCGTTTGGGGTATGTTTAGGGTTTTATTTTTAGGGTTTCAGATTTAGGGTTTTGTTTGGGTTTAGGGTTTCATTTTTAGGGTTTAGGGTTTAGGGTTTCATTTTTAGGGTTTAGGGTGTTTCATTTTTAGTGTTTAGATTTAGGGTTTTGTTTGGGTTTAGGGTTTCATTTTTAGGGTTTCAGATTAGGGTGTCAATTCTCTTTTGTAGGGTTTGAATAATCAAGTTAGATGTTACAATTTACGGTTTAAAGGGTTTAGGGTTTCTATATGTAGATGAGTCAGTCACGTTCCGGGAGTAGATCGGGTAGTGGAGTCCGATCTCGCGGACGAGGATCCGGTGTTTCTAGTCCTTCTACCCCTACTTCTCAGCAGCCCCCAATACCCACACCTCGTTTGGATCAACCTTTCACGGGTCAATCCACGCAGCAAACTTCACATGAAGGTTCTTCGCGTGATTCATCAGTATCACTCCGAGAAATCCTCGCATCCGAGGATCGTCGTACGACGAGACCGCACCTTAGCCCAGAGCGAACCAACGGTACTTTATGGTAAGGAACATTGTAACAATTCATTTCCAATTTTTATATTAATGTTTACAGTTATATAACTAAGTATATTTATATACTCGCATAGGTTCGGTCGTCATTCCCAGATACGGAAGACAATTGTGAGCATCTTCCAGAGTGATTTTCAGGGTCCTTGGCTCAGTATCACTCGTGTCCCTCCAACGACTCTGGAGCATTGGTTTTGTGCATTTGCGGTAAGTTTTCAAATTCAAACTATTCTTTTAATTTCATTTATTGTTTTATTAACATCAATTTTTGTATTGCAGCAAGTTTTTTATTGGGAGGAGCACCATCACGACATGGTTTATGCCGGTTGGAAGGAAGTGCTGGCTAACCGACTCCGGGATGCGATCTATCGGTCGGGTCAAAGTTGAAACAAGCCATTGTGGATGAGCGGGGGTGTTTGGAACCTCCTCCTGGCTCACTGGGACTCAGATGATACAGTAGAGAAGAGTCGGGTCGCCTCAGCCAACCGACGGTCTCGATCTGTGGGGGACCGCGCACCAGTAACTCATACCGCGGGTAGAAGATCTTTCGCCAGAGTCGCAATAGATATAGTAAGTAACTTTTATATTAATAATTATATTTATTTAAAAATTTTTGTAATTATCATTATTTTGTTTTTAGGCTCAAAAAGAAGGTGTAGAACCGTCGGTTCTACGAGTTCTTCAGGACACACACCGTCGATCGGACGGTACATATGTGAATGAGCGGGTCCAGCAGATCGAGGAGTTGGTGCATTCCAAGATCGACGATAGAGTCTCCCATATGGACGAGAGTTGTGCTTCTACACAACTCTCGACAACCGAAGTTAACAGCCTATATCTTGAGGTAAATATTTATAAAATTAATAGTTTTGAATTTTAAAAATATATGATTGTATGCTAATTTTTGTTTTATTGTATAGGTTGTCCATCCGGATGCCAAGGGTCGTCTCTATGGTGTCGGCACCTTGGCATCTCAACTGGGCGGGGGGAAAACTTCTGCTCCGGCGATTACTCACTATGTCGCGCTAACGCGTGAAGTGGAAGAGTTGAAACGTTCCCAAGAGCGGACGACTGCAGAACTGGCAGAGGCCCGGGCCAAGATCGAGGAGTTCGAGCAACATCGGGAGAAGCTACAGAAGCTCTCCGAGACCGAAGCGAGGATCGTACGCTTCGAGAAGATGATGCAGCGCCTCACACTGTTCATGCCGCCTATATTCGATCAGTACGGCTTTCCGACGACATCTCGACAGCCAGATGATCCCGAGGATGATCCGGAGGGCGCATCCGCCAATCTCGGCAATGATACACCGGTTGATCCATAGACATCTTTGTATTATAACTCTTTCTAAATTATTGTATTATACTTTTTTTCTGAATTATGAATCTTGTTTTGTTTTTAATTAATTCGTTTTGTTTCTATTTTATTTCTAATTTATGAATTTGTTTTTAAAATTAATTTTTATAATATTTAAATTAATTATAAATTTTTTGTTTTTTTTAATTACTTTTACAACGTTTGCGACGGATATAATCGGTCGTAATCCGTCGCAATTAAGTGCGACGGACCGTAATCCGTCGTTACGTTCGGAAATCAATAAAGCGACGCGTACACGGCGGATATATGCCGTCGGTAAAGTTTGTTACGGATAAGTCCGTCGCAATGTGCGACAAACAGAAACGCGACGGTCTACGACGAACTTCTTATCCGTCGGTAAAATAACGATGGATAACGACGGAAATTTCCGTCGTACTTGTGCGACGGTTAACCGACCGAAACAAATTTGCGACAGTTCCGTACCGACGGATTTGTCCCCGCCATGATCCGTCGCAAAGAAGTTGTTGCGACGGATATTTGTTCGCTGTGCGATGGATATTTCCGTCGCATATGCATTGTATTTTTGTAGTGTAAGGTGATATTCATGTAAAACTATAAGAAAATATCATACGAAACCGATGAGATCAAGTATTCAGATTTTTAACGAGCAAAAGAAGATAAATGAAAAACAAAAACACAATTTAAACTGTGGTTAAAAAATCGATCCTAACGGATATATTTTCGAATTTCAAATTCATAATTTAGTTACATAAAGAAAATTTAATCACCCAAGTACGGGTCTATAATTTCTAATTTCACCGCATGCATTTATTACAAAAACATCAAAATTCAATGCAAAATATTCATAAAAAATGATGTAGCTCCTCTCATATATGCCACATATTCCTAATAAGTAATTCAAGTTTATTTTCATTTATAGCATATTCCACGTCCAGCTTATATAGTATGTCTCCTATTTCTCCATATGTAAATTATTCATGCACTAACTTTTTTGGGAAATATTGTCTGTCTAGATAACAAGAACCTATGATGCTGGATAAGTACGAATATATTTTCCTTATGCGAATTGGATACATAACATTTTTTTTTACAACAATTAGATACACATAAATATCGATTATTAATTACATAAACATCCAAAGAGAGTAAAAGGAAATGTCTCCAAATTTTACACTTGTAAAATTGCAATAACTATGGTATCTCCTCGTATTAACTCAAAACAATTACTCTATAACCCTATTCCGTGGTTTATTCATTTAACTTAAAAACACAAAGAAAAAAAAAGAAAAAACCAAAAAAAAAAAGACAAAAAACATGGATTCTTCCGCCGTCGACTTCTCCGTTCTTCAGAATCAACCAAAGGTCCCGGCGGAGTTCGTATGGACGGAAAACTATACAAGAGTCAATGTTGTCATCTACAACTCAGACAAGTAGGTAGTCATGCATTAAATGGCATCTCAACATCATGAATCAAAATTACGAAAGCAAATCGTCAGTAAGCTTTCATCATCGAGAATGAAATCATTTCCTTGCCGAAGAGAGGAGAGTTTGCACCTCACAGTGCACAGGACATCACCTCGAAGAGTAGCTGCCGGTTTGCTTTCCACTCCATGGATTCGAGCATTTCGTTGGCCCCAGATCAAGTAGGTGGTGGCATGGAACATTATACATTATTTTACATTGATAAATGTATGATGGGAATTTTGGACAATAGGGTGATTGTTGATTAACGTATAAACCAATAATTTTATTTTTATTTTCAGAAAATTGTATCAAAAGTATTGTGAGTCGATGAACCGACTGTCTCTTGATTTGATGGAGCTTATGGGGACAAGCCTAGGTCTAAAGGACGAGAAGTACTACCGGAAATTCTTTGAAGACGGTTGTGCAATTTTCAGATGCAACTATTATCCGCCGTGCAAGCAGCCAGACCGTGCACTTGGCACCGGTCCACATCGTGACCCAACCGCCCTTACCATCCTGCATCAGGATGGTGTGAGCGGTTTGGAGGTCTTTACTCAAGGCATTTGGCGAACTGTCCGTCCATATCCAGGATCTTTTGTTATCAATCTCGGCGATCTCTTCGTGGTAAGTATTTGCATGTCGGAAAATATGAAATTATCATATATCTAGTTCTTATGAAACTCGAATATGAGATTTTCGTGTGGGTTCATGGAACTTTTTGTTTCAGCCAATGTCAGAGGGAAAGTACAACAGTTGTTTACACAGAGCAGTGTTGAACAAAGACACAGTGAGGAAGTCATTGGTATTCTTCATTTTTTCGAGGAAGGACAAACTCATCGTACCACCTGAGGAACTTGTGTCTGGTGACTCTAGGAACTATCCGGAGTTCACTTGGTCCGATTACCAAAAGTTCGTCGTAAGTAAATATCGGCTACTTCTTCTGCCGAAAAGGCGGTGGTCGAGGAGTTAATGAACAACAACTTGATGAATGTTTCAAGTCCTATCTATGTGTTTTATCAGTATTTTTCGTCATTTCCTCAACAATGTTGCATCTCTCTTTGTCGTTTTCGTGCAAGTCAAGGTAGTTGAGACCCTTTTATTTGTACTTTTAATAAAAAAAATTTCTGCCGTTCTAAAATTAGTTTTGATGTTAATAAAATTATTTTTTTATTGTAATTGTAAATTCATTCCAAAAAAACTATACAAGAGTCAATGTTATCATCTACAACTCAGACAAGTAGGTAGTCATGCATTAAATGGCATCTCAACATCATGAATCAAAATTACGAAAGCAAATCGTCAGTAAGCTTTCATCATCGAGAATGAAATCATTTCCTTGCCGAAGAGAGGAGAGTTTGCACCTCACAGTGCACAGGACATCACCTCGAAGAGTAGCTGCCGGTTTGCTTTCCACTCCATGGATTCGAGCATTTCGTTGGCCCCAGATCAAGTAGGTGGTGGCATGGAACAATAATAAGAGCACGTACCTGAGGATACGACAGTGCGAGTATTGTTGCAAGACCTGGAGATCTTCCTAAAATGAGGTGAAGGTCTAGAACCGAGGCTCCACATGCGACACCATCTCCTGCCAGACCGAGGAGGAGTAGACACATTGGAAGAACAGGTGGTCCCTTGATTCTGATCCGGTTTCACATATGTGGCAAGTGGTGTTGACAGTTAAACCCCACGACACCATTCTATCCATCGTCGACAGTCTGTTCTTCTGTGCATATGTTCTTTTTGGGATTTCTGGGATCTCGCTAGCAATTCATAATCCTAGAGATGTGGTTCTAGGGTTCATGCAGTGGAAGGTAAAAAACAAAATTTTTTTCTAAACAAAACCTTAAAACCGAATATGCACGATTGTAGATCTATAGAAGAGACACTAATCTCAAAAGATCCAGGCCTATTCTCAAAGCTGAATACCAAGCCCTCTATGTTGGTTTAGTACTCTATGATGTACTGTTATATGAGCTTTATTATGATACATTCGATGTATTGACACTTGCTATGGTTATATGGATGAGTGTTTGATTTATTACGTTTTGTGCATACTTTAATATGTTATGAAATCCATGTATTGTTATGAACAATACTAAAACTCCCTAGTTATATATCATCGTGGGAACAATGATGTACTAAGACTAGTATGATGTGTGATAGATAATCATGGAGATGATCATGGGTATTGGATACGATCACAATCATAGGTATTCGTTGGAGAACGGAATACTGGATTGACCCGCATGAGATTGTCACTTGGACTAGCGTCATGACTTGAATCTCATGTGACGGTTCCATGATTGGATCCTATGACTTGAGATATCTACGGAATCCAAAATGAGGAGTTGCGTACTTTGAATACGTCAAACGTCATACGTAACAGGAGGACTATAAAGGCGTGTATCAGGTACGACACGAATCATGTGCTGGATTGTAGATAGTCAAGATGAGATTTATACCTCTCGTAAAAGAGAGAGATATCGCTGGGCCCCTCGCGTGAGCGAGACTGTAGAAATGTGTGGCCACACTATAGACGAGCGTCGTCTATTTCGTACAGTCGAACTCTGTGAACGAGAAAGCAGTCGAATCAGATAAGGTGGCTTCTCCATGCCTTATATTCGACATATGATATCGTGATACAAAAGAATCATCAACCAGAATCATCACCGACGTTCGTAAGATCACGAACAAACTCTATTCGAGATAAGTAGTCATAGTGTCTTGATAGAGACCGCCTATGACTTGTATACCCGAAATGAAGATTTCAGTTATACTGCTATATCGGATGAGCCTATAGGATCACACACGCAGGGAAGGACAAATGCACGAGAAAACGACGAAAAACCGAGACAGAGGGTCCAGACCCGACGGACCAGAAGGTCCAGACCTGACGGACCAGAAGGGCCAGAACCGGCGGTCCAACAGGTCCAGACCTGACGATCTAGAGCATGGTAGTTTGTCTGTTCTAGAATATCTGGAACGGACGGTCCATGGAAAGGCAGACCGTCCGTTCTGGAATGTTGGAACAGACAGTCCACGTGTAAATCTGGACCGTCCGTTGCGGCTTTCAGGTTTTTCGAAAATAAACCAAAATTAGGGTTAATCACTTCGTAAGAAAGAGATTAAGAACCCTAATAAGTGGTGGCCGAAAAAGATAACTTCTACAGACCTCTTGGTGAGCTTGGAGGGTCTAGGAAGTGATCTAAATCCCGTTTTTCTCGTTTGCACATCACCGGATAGCATATTTGGGTCCTAGCAGACAAGTTCCAATCGTTGGAATCCATCCCGAGGTGTGGATACGTGTAGAGGGCGAGGTAATCTTCCTCCCTTTTGTGATCGGACGAACACATCAATTGATACAGGCCTCGGATCGATTGAGGTAAGCGTTCTAACGTTTCTACGATTCATACATGCATGGTTCTAGGGTTTATTAGAAAATTTTATTTTACATCCGCTGCGCAAACCCTAGAATCGATCTCTTAGAAATATAGATTCACTGTAGAGATCCCAGCAATTCCCAACACTCTACACGTATTGGGGCCTGTTCGGGGCCTATTCTCAAACACTAACCTCAAACGATCTGGGGCCTGTTCTCAAAGAAAGTAATAGTCCATACAATGACCCCTTTGTAACGCGATATCATATGTCGAACATAAGACATGGAGCCAGCCATCTTATCAGATTCGACTGCTTTTCTAGTTCGTTGAGCTAACTGAAACATCAGATGACTTATCATCAGATTGCGCGCATCTCAGTCTCAATTCACTCGAGGGGCCTAAGCGATATCTCTCTCGGGACGAGAGATACGAATTCCATATTGACTATCTACTATTGGTAACATGATTCATGTCGTACCCAAGAGACGCCGTTATAATCTTCCTGTTACGCAAGACGTTTGACGCAATCAAAATATGAAACTCCTCATGTCGGATACCGTAGACATCTCGTGCGGGTCATCTAGTACTTCATTCTAAATCAATAGCCATGTGTGACACTCGTATCCTGCTTCCCGTAAACAGGATGCATCACATGGACTAAAACCGATTAAATAATGTCGAACCAAAAATACGGGAATTTTTAAAACTTTTTAAACATAAACATGCAGCGAAAATACAACACGTGTGATCATAGTCGCAAAACCAACACATTTCCGAACAGTAATAGTAAATAATACAAAATATGGGAATACAAATCCCGTAGTCCAAAATACAAAACCCGTACATGATGTTGTCCCTTCGATGTCGTCGTCGGCCGAATGCGCTACGCATGCCCTTCGTGCACTGAAAGAAAAACGAAACCACGAGGGCTAAGCACAACCGCTTAGTGAGTAGCCCGGGTTGAACCCGGTAAACCCGTTCCCAGCGAGAACGGTGTTAAAACGAGAATTCAGAATAACATGCAGCAATAATAACATGCATTATCACAGAACGTGCATCACACATATAACAACAATCACAATCACACCCGCATGGAGTCCACCATGGGGCTAGCCATAAACCATAGTCAAGTCGGCATGACTCGGTGCGCATCACACGCCCGTCACTCGCGTGACGTTGGCGCCTCAAGCGCTTGTCACATCACGTGACTACCGATGTCAAGTCCATGACACAACGGAAATGTAAACACACCCGTATGGAGTCCACCATAGGGTCCAGCCATATACTCTAGTCAAGTCCATGACTAGAGGCGCCTCCACGTCCGTTAAGTCCATGACGTTGGCCGTGTCAAGTCAGCATGACACAATCGATCATATCACCCGTATGGAGTCCACCATAGGGTTCCAGCCATATACCCTAGTCAAGTCCATGACTAGGAGCGCGTCACACGCCCGTCAAGTCCATGACGTTGGCCATCGTGTCGCACACGACTAATCGCGTCTCAAACGCCCGTCAAGTCCATGACGGTGATGGTTGCGTCCACAACCATCCACAAACACAATCATGCTTGACTCGTACGCACGAGCAAGCTACACACATGGCACACATCATGTATATATCCCCCAGTACAATCACGTATCACGGTATCCGGTCCCTTACCGATCTACCGCTTAATGTCATGCAAACTACCCCGTATAATCACGCAACAAGTCACTCGAATCGTTGTATCGCACATCTCACGCACATGGGATTCAAAAATAATCCGAAAAAGGGTTCCGTAGCCTAGACCGGTTGGTCCAGGGTGTTCCGGGCTGTCCCGAGCCCTCTCGGTCCAAGTTTAAGATCTGGAACGCGGACCATCCGGACTGAGACGTCAGACTGTCCGTTCTGGGCGTCCAGTCCGTCCGTTCCGGCTCTTTTCGCTCTCGCGAAACAGTTTTCTGGTCCGACTTCGTTTGATCATATCTCCCTCATTTCTCAACCAAATTCAGTCTCGTTTGTTGCTAAATGTTCATTGAAGTGTCCTCTATCTAACCCAACCAACTAAGTATTGAAATACTTCAGTAACAAGGTGAAAAAGGATTCGTAATTTGGCAAGACAGATTCTCGTTTCTGTATTTTCCAGTTTTCTTCAGTCTTCATTCAGTCATATCTCACTCATTTTTCAACCAAATTTAGTCCCGTTTGTTGCTAAATGTTCATTGAAGTGTCCTCTATCTAATCAAAGGCAACAAACTATCGTAATAACACGATTACAGGATGAAAACGAGCTCACACAGAGTCAACTCAAGCCACTCACCTTGGATCAGATTCGGATCTGATTTTTGGCCTGAGTTTGGGGCATTTTCCGGCGATTCCAACGACGTCAATCCTTCAAGACCTTCTAAGGCTGTCCCTCTTTGCTTCCCGGAGCTCATTTCCTTTCCTCTCCCTTGTTATATAAAAAGATGGATCTGGATACACGAGAATGAATACAAAAGAAAAACAGAATCGAAAAACAAAATAATAGATGAACCCGAATATAATCTTCTATGCGTGATTTCACTTTCCTAAATCGTTGTACCCTACAGAAAAACCCGCGAATGAGAATGAATAAGAAAAGTTGGAGAAGAGTTTGCAAAATTCTTCACCAAAATGGCTCCCAAATCTCTCAAAAATCAATTTTTATTTCATCTCTATATGTCCAGACGTTTTGGAATGTTTTTTAACACTCCAAAAGTCAAAAGGTGCAAAGAATCAGAAGTTTTTCTCG